GGGCTGTCCACTAGTTGTTCTGTGTAATAAGTAACAATGTCACAATTCAGTTGGCATTCATATAGGCCGTCATTGACCGATTGTTGACGTCATCATTATTTTGACGTCATAATTGTTACGTTGGATACCACTAACCCTCCCCGGACGCCGGCTGTTCTATTCATTGAACAAGCATACACGATACATACATTATTTGAACTAAATACTGAATAAAAATAAGTGTGATTGATTTCTTATGTCCAGTTGGCATTCATATTGCCTACGAATGCCAACTGAGAACAGTTAAATGTACGAAAGATATGCAGACGATCTTTGTATGCCATTTGAGTTTATATCCCTTAAAGGGAAGTATACATACTGAAAGAAGAACCACTGGCAGGTGTTTCATTAAGATAATACCCTAATTTATTACTCAGATATACTGATTGAGTATCGACATGAAAAATTACTACCCTGATGCACGATTACAGTATCTGAAAACATTCATTGAAATCGGCCCAGTGGTTTAGGAGGTAGCAGGGCCATAACTCCTTTTAAATGGGTCAGAATGAAAAAAACCTAATCGGAAGGCCAACGTCAGGGGACAGTTACCATATTTGTAAACTGTATTTGAATTAGACTTAGTAGATGAGGAGAAGGTGTCAGGACAAGGAGTTTTCAACAAAGGGCCATAACTCCATAAAAAGGGTCGGAAAAAATAGCTGGAAGCTCAACATCAGGAGGTGGTTATCATATCTGAAAATATCCGTTGAAATCGGACCATAGCTTTAGAAGGACTTGTCCGGACAAAACGTTTCAGTATTTGTTCAAAAAAGGGCCATAACTTCGTAAAAATGGGTCAGAAAGAGAAATAATACCAGAATGCACAACTTCAGGTGGTAGTTATCATATCTGGAAAGTTTCATTAAAATTGGCTGATTTTTGTTTTATTGGGGAAAACATACACGGAAACGTCCCATTTTTCTCTCATTTACGGAAGTTTTGAAATCGTTCATCAAATATAAGTCCAGAGAAATAGATAATTCTCATTTTAAATTAATATTGAGCCTATTTCCGATGAAAAAGAGTGACTGAAAAAATGGCTAAAGTTTCAGTTTTGCAAAGACATTGACGTGACTCCGAGAATCACTGTTAAAATTCTCAGTAATTTTGAGTCAGGTTATCCAATTCCATATAAAATGTTTATTGTCCCGTGCTGGAATTTTGGAAATTGAATTTCATGAATAATATAACATAAATAAAATAGTAAACAGTTTTAAATATACATTTTTTGTATAATGTATCGACAACGGCAGTTCACTTTCACGAAGCTCTCCATTAAAACACTCACTCCCATTCGAATTACTTTTTACATGACAGTCTTCTATCTATATGTTAAAATCCAAAGAGACCAGAATGGCTTTAATGCGGATGGGGTCTTATTATCAATAGTCTGAAATAAATACTGGAGACCTATATAACCATGCTGTTGGCCGTTATAGATTACATCAACAGATATCACTCGTTAATCTCATAATGATCAAAGACTCGGAGCAACACACGTCTCTCACTCTCTGCCTGTGAAAAAAATCAGTTTTTGTCGATTACTCGTGATACCGATTGTGTTATAAAATAGTTAAATGATTCTTCCATAGGAACTACCTAGAATATTAATTCACTCCTGGATAAAAACAAAAAGTGACCCAAACCCGGAAAATATCTGCTTGCGTCAGTTTCTTTATTTATTAGTTATGTTTTTTATTTATATATGTTATTTATAAAACGTCGATGTTTTACCTTTATATACCTACTTGAGAATAATTTGAAAATCTATTTAAGGTTATATGCCATGTTACTGTTAAATGATCTTCTTTCTCAGAGAGCTACAATGTACTAACTGAAGAAAAAAAAGTTAATCATGGTTAAGTCGACTTTATTGTGTAATTGAAAAAAAATGTCTTAATAACTTAGACCATAATACTTAGTCATTTTTATAAAAGTAAGGAAGATAACTCCATAAATCACATGTTGAATTGTGTAATGTAGGATATGACCTTAACTGATTTTATATTTCGCAGGCCTGTCCTATTGTATAGGATCCACCAATAAACTCTCGATCAGTTCCATGCCAACACGTCTGTTTCCCCGACTAGCCTCATTAGACTCTGTACAACAATAGCAGTGATACCGCCATATGTGTGCCTATGTTAGAGCAAAAGAAATTATAAGTTAATTGGAAGGAAAATGTTCATAACCCCAGGCACATAGGTGTGTTTATGAACGAGCCAAATTATACAACAATTGCAGAATATGCCTATTGCACAGCTCGGTATAAAAGCGAGAAGAAATTATATTCTAATTAAGATCTATAACACCATATAGAGGTGTGTAGAAGATCAAGTAAATATCAAATAAGTGGGCGAAAATAACATGTAACTAGCGGATCTCGGACAATGAAGACTTGTAGAATGATTTATTTAGAGTGGCCCGCGCTCCGAATCATTGATGACAAAGGCTCGTCCACAGAAGCACCTGTCGGCTTGTTACGGAGGTCCCGCGGTTATCCACTACAAATACCTCACCTGCGATCCTTACACCTGCCCGCTGAATTATGTGGCGACAAATTTTACCTGTGCTCTATAACAGTTTTGTTGTAGTCATTATCAATCACTTGTACAGTGATATTCGGCTATCATCATGCGCAGACACAACCAAACAACAATAAAATATCAAAAGAGCACATGCTTGAACTAAATAAAAAATACCAAGGACAGGTATAAAGAAATTATCGTTTTAATATCACATTTTGAACAATTAAAGTTAACTGAGGATCGAAGTTTCGGGAGAGTTGGGTCGTTAACAAATACAGATTAAAATCTTTCAATCAGATTCTAATTGGAGTTTAAATTCACTAATTTGAAAAATACCAGTTATTCATTATCTCGCGGCGACGTGAAATAAAGATAATACCCCGCGTTTATTCACACAAGACCTTTATTCGTTCATTAATTCGTCCTTTTAAGCACTTTGTTGTAATCTTTCACATGTAATCCACCACGAACAACACATTTGCACGAGTCCCTTTAAAAAAACTGTCTTTAATACTCTTGAAGTCCTCATTAATTGTCATAAGTGGCACCGGTATAGTGCCGCCAATAAATAAATGACCATCTTGCCATATGTATAGTTAATAAATAAATTAATAAGATATTATAAACAACTATTAAAAAGAAGTCTTTTTTGAATCATTACACTAAGCTACTGCAGCAACTGTCCTCGTGTTTCAGAAGCAGGGACATTCGAGAGAAAGTTTTGCTGCACCGCTTACAACTGTACTTCTTCACCTCTGAATGGGTCTGTAAATGAGCCCTAAGATTGGACCTGTCGGCGAAAGCGCGCCCACAATGATCACACCGGAAGGGTTTTTCGCCCGTATGAGTCCGAATGTGACCCTGAAGGAGCCATGGACGGGAGAAAGCTTTGCCACAGAGTTTACATTTGCAAGGCAGTGTGTGTGTTCGTATATGCATTTTGAGTGCTCCTAAAGAAACATAGGTCTTTTCACAATATTTACAGCTGAACTCCTTCTTCACTTGACTAGAACAATGAAACTGCTTGTGTTTGGAGAGCCCGCTAAACGTGGAATAACTTTTGTTGCAACTGTCACATTGGTAGCGTGTCGGCTCACCCTCCCGGAGTTTCCTCTTCCCGACCCCGGAAAGGTCGAGTTCCATTGGGGACACTGTAGGAGAGAGGCTATATTTAGACACTACAGGGTCGAATGCCGAACTTTCCATGCTACTACTTAAGATAGTTGAATCAGGACTCTTTAAAGAAAGTTCATGTCCAAATTGTTTTTCTGGATGGGTGGGGTAGCCGAACGGTGATGGCGGGAAAAACTGATGAGGAGGAAACAGAGACCTGAGGGAGCTGTACGCCATAACGGGATCTGGAAACGCCTTCCTATGGAGTGGGTCCGCCATGGAGGACAGGAGAGGGAAGTTGGGCGCCATCCCTGGAAGCGAAGGAAGTCTAAGACCCATGGGAAGATACGGCGAAAAGTGGGGCGTGATTCCGGGGTACATGGATGTCTGCCAAGGAAAGTTGTCAAAGAATTTTGGCGGTTCGGCCGGACTGCTTGGGCTCCTTTGAGTGCCCTTGGCGGGATCTCCGCCACGCGCCTGCAGTGCGCGCTGTGGAGTGTCAACTAAGGCCACCGCTTCAGCAGGTGGTTTTGTGCTCAGATCGTATACCTGTGCCGCTGCGATCACCTGCTCTCGTGGCACGTGCACGGCCGGTTTCTCTGTAAATAAAAACGAAAAGAATAGCAATATGGAATTACATCAAACGCATCGCCGATCCTTACAAACTTGAAATAAATGTAATGAAACGGAAAAAGCTATTTAGTCAAACACAGCCGACAAATCATTAGGAAGTGAGTCTTTGGCTTCACTTCCACCTGTTACTAAGGGGGCGGCCCATTCTTCTAGGTTAGCTTAGAGATCGATGTTACCGCCACGCGAGGGAAATGTGATACCTGTTGTGCGTTATATGTTGATTATTGTGTATAAAGTATTTTATTCCGATACAAATCGTTGAGAAGATATAACAATGAATGGCTACTATAATTGATTGTCTCTCAGCCACACCTGTATTTTTTCTTCAGCTGTATATAATTTCAAAGAAATGTATCATATTCAGTTCATGTGCACGTAGCGGATGTCGAGTTAGAAAATAACAGAAAAAACGCAAAAGGAAAGTTTTATCTTTATCGATATCTATTGATTGGTACTTACACTGTAGCTGTAAATTACTTTTTCATCATTGGTACAATACCTTTTATGGAATATATATACTTAAAAATATAAAAGCATCGTAATTAAATTGTTCTTTATTCTATGAAAATTTCAATTGATCATAAATTGTCACAGATTTCATAAAACATTTTTGTTTTTACTTAAGTAAAAATCTGTATCGATGTTTAGAAAACCTGTGGATGTGACAGGTGTTTTGTGTCCCTATAATCCCGGTAAAGGCAATCACGTCCTATACATGATGTCATATCAATTTTACCTCGACAAAATAGTTAACATATTTATCTGACTGTCACATCATGACTCTGAGGAGAGCGAATTTAAAATCGAAAACATTTGTTCATTTTTAATTATCATTTTCCAATGTTCTCCTTAAATTATTTGTATATACAATTCAGAGGGCATCCTTATTGCACAACTCAACATTAATCAATTTGGTATCACTGTATTCGTACTTTTGTTCGAAAAAATTATATACATTTTGTTTTCCATTTTTTGTCTTCAAAATTTGAATTTTCTATTTTGTTTTAATACTAATAAGGTCGGGTCTGCTTTAATTAAATGTAGAAAAGATCATAATTTTATTTTGTAGGGTAAGGCTAAGGTTTTATTGACCATTTTCTTGCGTGTCGATTGATTAGCTAAGCTTATTGTATACATTTCCCGTAAACATTGCATACTAGAGTAGAATAAGGGTCGCGACATACTACAGTTATATATATATATAATAAAACAACAATTATGTTATACATGTATACTCAAACAGGGTTTATTCTTGTCCTTTAAACTATACTGCCTGTAACCGGTACTTTATCTAGTCCATTAACACCATGATTTGTATGTGAATTGTTCTATATAATGTATTTATGTAAATTCTCTACATCGTAACCAGTTGGCGAGAATAAAACTTGTCATTGATCCCAAAACAAAAACTTGAACCCCGTTTAATATTCAAGAGTTTATATCTAGAATTCATAAATAAAGAAATGTATTCATTTTTTGTGTTCAGAGAGCTACCAAAAACCTGTATTATGCTGTGACCTCCGATACTTTCACAGATCAGACAGACGAAAATATATATTAAGTTGACAAATCTTTTAAACGTTAGCATACTACTATATTCTGATGTTAAAGGTCCCATTTCCCACCAACTTTTGTCTGTATAACCGCCCATTATAGCACGTCGACCTAATGAGACTGAGTCTAGACGTTATTTCATAAGATGACAATTTAACCACATTTTAAAGCATTGTTTTGAATTATATTTCAGACTTCAAAGGATTGATGTAATAAGTAAACTAAAGATTGAATATTTTTCCCAGTAATTTCGACAATTATTTACATTCTGATAATTCATTTTCCACAAATTTAAAAACATGAACATTTTTATACGTATATAATTGCAAAATTTACCAATTCATTTATTCCGGGCAATTATTCCTTTTCTTTTCAGTGTAAGATTTGAGATTTTTTTTTCTCACATTCTGACAATGCACATCATACGAATTAGCATACACATTAACGTACTTCAGCTGAAATTATTTTTACAAAACAGTTGACCTTATTACAGTTATGTATTGTGTTACAATGACTTACAATACAGTCGTGTAAATGTGTCGTTGCAAGAAAGACAAGAATATATTACTTACCTAATCGGTTACAATTTTCATCTAAAATTCCCTTATCTTCGGTTTTTTCTTCCGTCGTGTTTTCTTCTTTGGCAATGCCCATCTGTTTGGCCATTACACTGTTGTCCAATTCGATCATTTTATCACGAATGCCCCTGTCCTGGGCGGTTGACAATCCCGTTGTGATTTTTTGTTGAGTCAAATCAACAGGTGCATTAGTGGGACATAAGCTATCTTCAGAGTCTCGATTTCGGACTAGAAAAGATTTCGGCATCCCTGTCAGGTGTTACTGTAATATATAAGCCCCGATCTAGAAGTCCACACAGTAAATTTAAATCACTTTGCTATCTCTCACAAACTTTCAATTTTAGTCGTTACACATGGGTGGTTTTGAGTATGTATGACTTCACGGTGAACTTGACTTGTCAATTTTTCCGTGTTTTGATTCCGATAAGGAGCCGGTGTGTAAATATATACAGACATGCTACCCGTTGTGGCTGTTCTTTTCCCGGCCGTCCAATCACAAATCTCGACAATTGGCCATTAGACCTCGGCGACCAATCAGAGCGTAAGTCAGTAGGATACGACTCCACCCTCCGACAGCTCTGCAACAGGTGTGTGTACTGAGGCTAACACTCCAGATATAGCTAGCCCTTAGAGAAAATAATCCCCGTTAAAGATTTGTCAGAAACTTGTTAAAGTTTGCAGGTTTTTTGAAGTCATAAATCTTGCACAGGTCGGTGAAAAAATAGCGAGTTATTCCTAAATAATCTATAAGAAACCAGTATGGCGTTTATAAAATGAATTACAAATATTTTTATCTTTGGCCCGATGTGGAAAACTATTTAGTATCGATGACTGGCGGCTGACACTAACTTAACCTCATGTATGACATCATCATATATAAGATATTGATAATATGCGTTTTGTTCGTATCATTGATTTTCCCCGCCTTCAAATGTGTGTTTAGACATTTCTGTTCACTTTCTGATAACATATAAGTATTGGCCATTAGGAGTCGAGTGTGATCGTGAAAATTTTTGTTTGAATGCAGTTTTCTTTTATTTGATATCATAGATTGAAATAACATTTCAGTAATAATACATTTCTTCATAGTTTGGGAATAAATTAAAACAGTAAAGAATGAAGTTTTTTATTCTTAAAGTTTCTTTTATATTTTTTAAAAGGAATTGCCTTGTGACGCCACTATTATTAATGTGTCTGTGAATATGAATATAATAAATATTACCCCTCCCCCCTTCACCCTTCTTCGGATGATCTAATATGTGATACTTTTAAAATCGAGTATTTCCCCCGATCTTTCCCTTTTTTCCAGTATTCATCTTTACAGAACCCTAACTAAATCTAAACTTTGAGAATAATAATTTGGAGAAAAAAATCTAGCGGCCAAATGAAAAATATCCCACGAAACCTGAGACTTTACAATCTGTAACGTATTGAGGATGAGGAGCACATAATGTCTTTCACCCAAACTGACAAATAACATACATATATAAATATATAATGAAAGACACGTATCAGAAAAGCTGTTGTCAATTTGTATGACAGTTGGCCTGCATTTAGTACAAACTTTCAAATTAAAACACCTTCGAACTACATTTTGAAATACTAACTCAGCAATAAAGCATTGCATTATAAGCCATTCAGTCACGTTCGTTTTCACACATCTTCTGTTCTTTACGCCACAGAGACAAATGGTTTTGATACGAATACATATCCCCATGATGACATTAATTTTTCCACTCATTTTGGGGTTTTTTTCATTCAATTTTAGATGCTAAATATTTACATGTAATAAATGTACAGCTTTTGCTTATTCTATACGAACCTCCTAACTACAAATCCCTAACATAAATCTAAGACATTTCTCTTCTACGTTATTTAGTACTATTTATACTGTATTGTTAGCTTAAAAGGTAAATAATACAGTATTTGAAATAAATGTTTCCTTCTAATTTACCCCAGAAAATACAATTTTTGCAATTTTTTATTATACCATGCATAAACTGATTATTTTCAATGTTCTAAAATATATATAATATGCCGAATAGTCTAAAAAAAATAGCCTAACGTTAAACTAACCAGGCCGCAAGTAGTCATTTAAGGACCTCTGTTACATTAAATTAGTATGCCTAGTTATTGTGGATATTTAAAATATTACTTTACATATTTATTTAGGTAGAGTTAATTAAGACATCTAACATGTGTATAACTGTTAAATACACACTCATACCAGTAGGACCTGCCGTAGAATTAAACCTTTCTTTTCAATTTTTAAAACTCAGAAATAAAGAAATACCAAATCGTACTTTACATATGGAGATAAGTACTGTTAATTAGAATTCCTTCCCATACAAAACTCAGAATGGTACACACTCAGACGGCAAAGGGACCTGCTAAAGTTAATACTGTAAGTAGGTACAGTATATATGATATTCCTTAGTGAAGTGATTTTAGAAATGGCAGGGGGATTCTGGATTATAGAGGGGACGACTAAACAGGGGATAACACTATAGTCGACACTTGTGGAGGGGATAAATAATGATTAAGGACGTATGGTGTTGACCGATGTCCATTCTTGACCACTGCCCACAGTAAGCAATGCCACCTCACTGATCACTAGTACAAATAGGCTTAACTCCTGCACCTTGCTGGACAAACAGAACAAGGGCAACCTGTCACCCCAACCCATTGTCCGAACTGGCAATGGTCAGCGGGAACTCGGACGGACGTGATGACCAGTGTCCGAAACTGACCATAATGAACAAACAGGATATGATAGTCACTTGTGGAAGTGATGACATCCAGACCGATCCTGTTATCACCTTCTTCTGACACGAGCCCGCACCCCATCGGCATCCTCCCTCCCCGACCCCCCGCGAGCCGTATATCCTCCGTCCCAGACTCAGTTATCAGGTGTGACATCACAGATATCGTACCATGTGCCCTCGGACTACATTACGCACGGGCACGAGCACGTGATTTATCGTAATTAATGACTTCATTAATTAACACTTTGTAAATCTCACACTGAGAAAGTCGTCAATATGACAGTTATTCAGCACTGTCCGATCTGTGACAAAATCTATTCACCCATTCCCATCTGTACGCGTAAATCTATCCTATCAATTGTCGGAGATGTTTTTATTATGCATATTATCATATGTATAACCTTTAATTGATACGACCGATTTCTCTCAAAGTCCAACTCGGACTATTTTAGTTATATTTCCCCGTTTTGTTACCACGATGCAACCTGTTATTCGAAACAAAAGGTTGTTTTTTTAATCATTTATAAATAACTTCAACAATTAATTTTTCAAACATTTTTTGTTAGTTATATACAATTCTCAATAGTTATAATTATTAATTAAATAGTTTTCTTCTTCTTAATATGTTTACTCTTGATAATTCCCAATACGGATTTTTTTCTTACAGAATCCGACAAAAGTTTCCATTTGTCATTTTGTCTTGGAAACATGATACTAAGATGTGAAAGACAAGTTGTTTATGACCTACGTTCAAACCGCTAACAGTTATCTAAATGCAGTGTAAATGACTGCTAAGCAGTTAATACAAGTATTACTGTCCTATAGTTACCAGTATGATTTTGCAGTACTATACTGGTATAAGTGGACCTGTCTGGCCCCTGTGCTTGATGATAAAATTGTTACGTTGGGTGGCCCCTGTGTTTATTAACAATAGTGTTACGTATCTGGCCGCTGTTCTTGTTGGAAATGATCATTACTTGTCTGTTCCCTGGTCTTCAAGATCGCAAATAATACTTTTTCTTCTTTTTCTTTTCTTGACAACATTTAATCAATACTGGGAATACCTGTACAACGCAGGCTGAGTGTCAGGTGCAAACTGTAGCACCTTTTGTGTTCGTTCGACAGGTAACGAGTCGAATTAATTCAGAAATGTCGAAAGAAAGTAATATATCATGGGTTTAACAGCAAGTAGAGTTACGCGAATCTTTTTCAACAGGAAAACGGCGAGTTTGGAATGTATGATTGGCTATGGGGATGATGGCCTTCCTGATGATTAAAATACACCTGTCTCGTTATTGTATTGAATACTAGACCACTTAATATGACCCCTGGTCCCTCCCTCACCTGCTCACCACAGCAACGGCCAGAGAGCTTAGGAAATGTTGAGGCTGCGTATTAGCGAAATAGACGATACCTCATTGGTTTCTCGTTCAAGAAACATTTAAAGATACATACAAAGAACAGGTATAGCCTTTAATACGGGAAAAATCAGATTTATAAAACAAAATCGGTAGGACAGGTTGTTTCTCGTACATCGGTATTACACGAGCCACTAACGCTACCCTGGAAGTCAAAGTCTTGACAAGATGGTATGCAGCCCTCCCCGGAATCCGTCAACCGTATCATTGTATTACAATCTCAAAACAGGAACACATGCGGTGCACACTATTGAATTAAACAAACAAATAAAATTTAATCCGGAAATGCGGAAGGAATCAATTATAGCTCCTAATCGGTATGGGTCCGGTTTGATACACAACGTGGACCTCCAAGGATGATGTGATCCGAAAACCGTTCTGATGTCCCTATTCACGTTTGTCATGATACATTTAAATAGGTAAACTCTCAAGTAGTAATCAGTCAAATTCAAATTATTGTATTACATTGAGCTTTACAGCTCATCTGTATAACTTACGCATATAATTATTACAAAATAATTACATGATGTGAGGGACACATAGTGCAGTGGAGAATGGACATCAGTACACTTTACATTAATGATTTTCTCAAATTGGTAGCATCGTATATATATTTGCTTAACATATTCAATTCTTTAATAATACATTTTTATAAATCTCCTAATCAATCTCCTGATAAAAAGGACATACAAAAATAAAATGGTCATGCTTATAGTTCTGTAATAAACAGTGATTAACGTGATTAACCTGAATGAATATAAATGAACAGAAATTGAAAATGAATACACACCTTATCATACGCTCTTATTATCTATTTCTTTTATGGTTTGTTAAATATCTTAAAACTATAACATCTTCACTAATATTTCAAATAGTTCAGGTTTACGCAATTTAGTGTCGAAACTTCTCCGAATAATTAATACATTTGTAAAATGGCCATGAAGTCAAAGATACCCTTCGTGTTCCTTTAGTGTAACTCTGCAAAAAAAGATAAGCTAACAAATTTACTTAAACTGTACACAGGGACCTGGTAATTTGTTACATCTATATTCGGACCTAAGCTAAGATGTTCAAATATAGCTGTAACAAATTCTCAGGTCCCTGTGAAACTAAAGACATATTCATTTCCTTTTCTCATTTTTAGCAAACCCGTGTCTATGTTTAACAGACATATAGTTACATACTGGTGTGGTTTTAATTAACATCCTCTTCTCTGGAT